ACACCAAAGGAAAGGTGAGAGTCTCTTTATTGAAACACCAAATTCTGGGGGCAGCTCTGAGAGGCAGGACAGAGGACAGCCACTGGCACAAGAGGAAAACAGGGAAATGGATCCCAAATGGGTGCCAGGGTTATTTGAGAGTGACAGTGGGCTGTATTTGTGGCAAATACTCGTGCACAAACACACTGGTGCCTTCTGAGGGCATCTCCTAGGGACAGTCCCTTGCTCTGGCACCACCTGCCAGCAGGAGGAAGTGGCAGAGCTGGCACAGGACTGTCCTGGAGGGGATGTCCCAGGGGTGACAGTGGGGTGTTCCACCCTCAGCCACCTTGGGAAATACTTCCGAGCCAAAGGTAAGACTCTGAAAGCTGTGCAACAGAGCTTGCTGAGGCTGCTGAGTTCACAGGATTCACAGAATGAGATCTTCAACATCATCCAGCCCAACCCAGCCCCAACACCTCAGCTGAAAGGTGGCTGTGCTCAGCTGGGGCTGGGCTCTTTCTCCAGGAACTGACAGCACCAGAGCACACAGCCTCGAGCTGCACCAAGGGAAATTTAGGTTGGATATTAGGAAAATGTTTTTTACAGAAGGGGTGATAAAGTTTCTGGAATGGCTGCCTGGGGAGGTGGTGGAGTCCCCATCCCTGGGTGTGTTTAACAAAGCCTGGATGTGGCTCTGGCTGCCAGGGTTGAGTTGAGGTGTTGGGACTGGGTTGGACTCGATGTTCTTGAAGGTCTTTTCCAACCCAGTGATTCTGTGAGTTCAGCCTGGAAAATGAGCAATTCTCCCTCCTGGGCTGCTCCCTCCTCCTCAGAGCCCCAGGCTCTGTGGGATTGCCAGGAAATCCCTTTTCCCAGGGACACGGCTGCTCCCCAGAGCTGCTGAAGGTGCTCCACATCCCCCAGCCCTGGCAGCTCCAGGCTCCCAGTGCCTCTCTCCATCCATCAGCCCTGACAAAGCAGCAGAAGGTGCACTCAGGTCTGTCTCTGCTAAACACATCCCTTTTTATTGATTTGCAGGAGTTCACAGCATTAGCATAAAACAATCGAGGCGGCTGTTTCCCCTAAGAGAGCCAGGGCTTGTTTACAAACTCATTTTATTTTCACAATATTCCTCTGTTATTTATTTCAGACAGAGCTGCCAGATGAATGCACTCCCTCATGCTGGACAGCTTGCTTTATTGCCTGTTATTAAGACATAACAGATATAACCTGACAGGCACTGCCCACATCTGCCTGCCACCACTGAAAGGCAAATTAAGTAGAAAATAAGAGATCTCCAATATTTCCTTGGCCTGAAGTGATATTAGTTTTTAACTCATTTTGTATTCATAGAGAATCCTGCATGTTTGTAACATATCCCGCAGTGAACTGTTCAAAGGAAAAGTTGGGTTTTAAAAAATTCTTACTCCAAGTACCTCTGAGAAATTCAGGCTTTAGAATGCAGCTCTGATGTTGGATGAGGAATTGAAAATAATGCAATTTTTAAAACTATGACTGAAGCCTACCATTCTTCCTTATGAGATTTCAAATATTAGATGTGACAAAGTGATGGTTATTCTGGGGAAGCCTAAGCCCAATGGAATGGCAGAACCACCTTCCCCACCACCTGTAGTTGTTAAGTAATTGTATAAGTTGTATAAGTAATTACTTATACTTGTTGTATAAGTAATTCTAGTCACATTTTTCATTATTATTTTTTT